AAAACTTGCTTATTACAATTTGGACAGTTTTTAGAAATGATTAATTTCATAGACATGCATATTTGAATATTAGTGACATAATCTTAGTATAATTTAGTAAGTTCTATTTATTTTTTTAATAGTTCAATATATATATTTTTTTAACTTAAAGATGGTTTTGGGGTCATTATCAAAATTGTTTGCAACTATGTAACGTGATATGATGCTTTTGAAGTTGCGTAAATGAGTTGATACATAATAGGGATTTAATAATTTTCTAGTCAAAACTGTTTCCACAAATTATTGAAATGATAAAAGGTCAACATCTTTTATGTCATGCTCCCCTAATTAAAAATTATATCCTCCAAGAGAGAAAGAAAATTTTAATTGAAGTAAGTTTACCAAAACTTAGAGTATCGATAAAAGTTTATGTGATAAAGTCAGAATTTTATATGAAGAACAAAATTAACGTCAGAGGTTGATCTGAATATGATGACTATTTAAAAAAGTATTTTGGCAAAATTAATGTTGTTGTATAGTAGGACGGAATTCTTGTTTCCAAAGGTAATATTCATAAAAAACAACCAATTTTTAATTGCTATAATGAAAAATAATTACTGACATAGAGTTTCACCTGTAAAATTTGATATTGCGTAACGTTATTTTCTTAAAACAAAGCCTAAAAGATGAGTATTTCTACATATTCTAGTTAAAGGGGTTATGGTTGTTGATAAGTGATAAATGTTAATAATTGGAAATAGAGAGAAAACAAAAATTATTCTTTTGGGTCAAGTGAGAACACTAGACTTACAAGGTTGAGAACGTGATGCTAAATTTCAAGTAAAACTTAAACCTACTTTTGTTAAAGTTTTTTCGTAGTTGTGTCGCATGTTAGTGATAAAATTAGAAAAAATAGATTTGTAGTTCACTTACAAATTTATGTGTCTTAGGTTTATGAATTTTTTGTAAGATGTTTTTATTTTTATATATAAAAATTATTTTCTTCTATTTAATTTATAGGTGACTAAAAAATCTCATTTTCTCGATAAAATTATGGAAAAGTAAAAGAGAACTTTTATAAAAAAAACAAACGCGAAAACAAGTTTTTGATGAATGTGTGAAAGGAATTTGTTCTTGCGGGGTTTTGTACTATTGGGCTTACCTTAAAAGTGAAGATGCTTCAGGCCCATACTAATTTTTGAATCGAAATTTTATTCCTTTTTCTGCAAAAGTCAAATTTTGATGAGGGCGAAGGGTTCTTCGATTCGGTTATTTGATTTTCGTTTTAAAAAAAGTGTTCACTGAATATTGAACCAAATTAATATAATTCTTCTATTTCTATTCGTTTGGTTTGGGTGTGAATGAAAAATTAAATGAGAATGAAATCAAAGTATAAAAAACTTGGTGCAATGAAGTTTCATGACCCTTATTCGAGAATCGAATTTTTGAAGGAAAAAAAACACTAATATTGAAACAATAAACCTAAAATCGCATTATTTTTCTGGAGAAATTCTTCAAAATGTCAATATTTTAACATTTAAAGGGCTCATTAGCGACACTTTTAATATTTAATAGAAATGTCAAATTTTAGTTTATGTTTTTTTTTTTTTTAAAGAATATAATTATTTAATAAAAAAAAAGAGAAAATCAAGAGAGAGAATATTTTTTTTAAAAAAGGTAATGATCACTTAATTTTCTCAGTTATATTTTCAAATAAAATTTAAATTTTGTTCTCTTTTTCTCCAGAATTTTTACCTTCAAAAATGTTGTATGTATTTTATTCGTATTTCTATTTATTCTAGTTTTTATTTAGATTTTTGTATAATAATATATAAAATATAAAAAATTAGTATGATGAAAAAGTGAGAATGAAATATAAAATTGAAAAGAAATAATTGAATATTTGGTGTAATCATTTTTAAATAAAATACATAACTAGTTAATATACCTTTAGAATAAATACAAATTAGAAAAAAATGTCAAATTCATAAACTATGCAGCACAAATTTTAAATGAATACAAATATTAATTGTATACATATGATTTTAAATACAAATTGAAAAAGGATACAAAATTCTGATTTTTTTTTATATATTCATGATTCATTGATCTTCTTTACAACGAAGAAAATTTTTTTTATTTATGAAGAATATTTTTTGTCTCAAATAGAATTTCTAACTATATTTTAAAATGATTAGACAGTAATACAAATTGTTTATAATAAATTATTTATTTTCACTAATTTATTAATTTTTCCATTTTTTTATATTTATGTCCACCCTTATATTCTCTAGACAGGTTCATTTGGGCCCCCATCGGTACGGGAATGAGGTGAGAACCATTTACATAAATAGGCTGAATTTTAAGTTTTTGACCATAAAATCTTAATAGAGGTGTTATATCGTGTACAAATTTTATCACAGATTTTTATTTCAAAATTGATCCAAAAATCTATTTTAAATGGTCAGAAATAAATCTAAATATGCAATACTTTAATACCATAACCAACGGAACCAATTTGCATTTTCTAATTAAAAAAACAGGGACAACTTTCACATATAGCAAACAAAAAATTCATATTTGTATACTGTAGCAAACTTTGTATTATTGCGTTCCATAACAAACATAAAACTGTATAATTTGCTATACATATACAATTGTATAATTCGCTGACCTAAATTGTATAATTCGCTGGCCTAAATTGTATAATTCGCTGGCCTATTTCGCTGCAATTGTATAATTTGTTTTGCATACAGTTGAATCAAATTAAAATGTATGTATATTGCATAATTATAAGTGTATAGCAAGAAGATATATGTTTTTCTCGCTTTATACAAAAACAGAAACACAATATATACACTTCTGTTGTATAAAGCTAGAGAAAATTGTATTTCACTGCAATTATATAATTCGCAATTGTATAATTCGTTGACCTTTTCCTCTGCAATATTTGAAGTAAAATGTTTGTAAATTATATAATTAAGTGTATAACACGAAGATATACATTTTTGCATGTGTATATACAATTTTCTCTCGCTTTATACAAAACAAAAACAGAATTATACACTTCTGTGTATAAAGCGAGAGTGGCGAGCGAGATTTTTGGGAGAGAGACTCTGGCAAATTTTAGCTAATGTTTGCTATGGAGCACAATTAAATCAAACCCTAGTTATTCCATTTAATTTAGGTTATTAGTTTGCTATTATATATAATTTTCCCAAAAAAGAATATATTATTGGATTGCTAAATGGCCAGGATATCATTTTTATTTTAAAATAAATTGATATTCTTTGTGTTTATTAATTAAAAGATAATAAAATCAAAAAAAACATTTTAAAAAATAAATTAACATAGAATAAAATATGTTATTTTACTATTTTGATGAAATTCTGACTAAAAAGATTTCTCTAATATTGTTCATTTAATTTTTACTTTTTCTATTATTATGAGTTATCAAAGATATGTATATACTATTTTAATAGTTGTACATAAAATTAACATCACTTATAATTTAATTCAGTCAAAAAATGTTTGATTTTTTTGAAAGTGCTACATTCACATTTCATGATTGCATCCAATTAATATCCACAACTTTTGCTGTCTCGATCTTAAAAAATAAATGTATTTTCAAAAGTGAAAATTAGATTTTAATTTTGGACCATCCAAGCATAAATAAAATTGTATTTGCAATAAATTCGCTGTTGACCAAAAATTGTGGCAAAAGTCTGATAGCTTAGAGGACAAAGCCTAACTAGGAAAAAAGATACGCATTCATTATTTAATACTCATTTATACCAAATCAAATACATTATTTATTCATTTTTCATTGTCATCTTTTAGAAAATGATTTTTACGTGTAACTTTTGATATATCAAAAATAATAATAGTAATATTTTTTCATATTAAACTTAGCATTAAATAGTTTTTTTAACATTATTTTTCAAAACTTAATACTATATATTATTTAACGAGAATAGTTTGAAAAATACCTACATCAATATTCATTTTTAAAAGACATGTCATGTTAAAATGTAACAAATAAAAATAAATAAATAAAATAATTTAACTAAAATTTTCAAATTCACTTCAATCGTTCGTGATCCTCGCTTAACTCTTATTCCATTCAAAAAATATAAAATAAGAATACATACTTAATTATTAGAAATTTGCTATAGATTTATATACTCAAGTATAACAATAATATATTACAAGTGAGATCTAGATAAATAGAGTAGACACAGATGGTACAATTACTTCATGAAGATAGAAAAACTGTTTTCTAAATACTTGATCCAAAAGAAGAAAAATATGATGAAGAAAATATAACTATTTATAAGAAAAGCAATGTCGAATAACTATATAAAAAGAAAAAGAAACAATAACAACAAATAAAAATATGATTGAAACTCACTAAACAATCTAAAATAATAGATATCAAAAACAAAAACTATTAAAATACAACTAATTACTCGGTAAATATCAACAAATCTAAACTTTCAAATAATCAAACACCCCGTTATCTATTAAACATTCTACTCTATTAAAAAAAAAATCCAACATCCTTCTCATTAAAATAAGATTACACTATATTCTATCCGATCACCTCTATTTTATGTTAAATGTGTGCCCCAATTGTGAGGGTTTGCATAGATAGAGTTTCAAGTTGCAACAAACCCTAGCACAGAACATTGATTGCAACAACAATAAACATCAAGCTATTTTCTTTCTGTGTATTTGGGAGGGGCAGAGCAAGTGCGATTATTATAATTTCGACAAAATTCAATAATTTTAATTTAAATTATATATTTATATTGAATATATACATAAATTATTCAAAACTTAACCAAAAAAAATAAAATTTCTCTTATATGGGAGCTGCAATTCTTGACAATGTTACAAAGATAAGGAAGCAGGTGCATTTGTTCTTTACCTCCTTCTAGACTCTTCCTTTTTTCTCTAGTTGGTTCCTTTCTCTATCTAAATTAAAGTAGTACCTAATAAACATTAATACAAATGAAAGGAATCATATTCTCATCAAAAGCTTTTTTGACATTATCTTTTTTTATTTATTTTATATATATATTCATAAGAATAAATCCACTCCAAAGTTGTAGTTTTCATATACCATTATACCAAGTTTCTCTTCTTTAATTTTCTCTGTTGAGTTACTAATTTTCAAAACATGATGAATGAACCACCAAAATATGGTTATCCATATCCCTCTCAAGGTCAAGGTAAAAATAACACATGATTCATTTTTCAAATTTATTTTGTGTATGCTGGCTAGATTATGGTTTGTTTATTAGAAACAATCTTTCTGATATTAAGAAATTAATAAAATTTGCCTAGATTTTTGTTTTTTTTTGAAAAAATAATAATTTGTTAAGCATATCAATATTTTCTTTGATTAATTTTGTTTGTGAAATATTTATAAACAGGGTATTATCAAGGTGGTCCTCCTCCTGTGATGGCACCACCAACATATGCTGCTCCTCCTCCTCCTCAGAAAAATAGAGGTTTTCTTGAAGGATGGTAAGCAATTTGATTTACATAAATTAAACTCTTTTCTGGCTCAATTTATGTATCACAATTTAAATTTTTATAGTCAACCAATTTAAGTTTGGTCATGATTTTGGTACGAAATCTTTAAATTTTCAAAAATATAACTCACTATAATAGACAATTTGAAATATTTAGAGTGTGTTTGGTATCAAGGAAAGTGTTTTCCTAGAAAACAAGTGGATATTTGACTTGTTTTCTTATGTTTGGTGGACGAGTAGAAAATATTTCTGAAAAAATATGTTATTGTTTGTTTTTTGAATGAAAAATGTTTTTGAGAAATCTTTTTTATTTTTTACTAGAGACGAAAATAATTTTTGAAGTTGAATTTCTTTTGCCAAATTCAAAACTTTTGCGTGGTAGGGGTGGGGGGTTCGAAGGTAGGAATGAAAAAATTAAATTTTAAAGTTGATTTTATTTTTTTAAAAATAATATTAATTTTTTTTTATTTGTGTGTGGGTGGGGGGGGGGGGAAGTGGTAGTGGGGTTGGGCGGAGGGTTGTTGTAAAAAATGAAATCTTAAAGTTGAAAATATTTTTTAAAAAATAAACTTATTTTAGGGGTAGGGGGTGGGTTGGGGGCTAATAGGTGTGGATGCGGGGTTGGAAGGGGTGAGTGGTGCGGGAATGGGGGGCTAGTATGGTTGGGTGGGTAGGGGGAGGTTGAAATGTATTTTGAAAAAATATTTTCCTTAAATTTTGAAAGAAAATTATTTTCTTTAAATTAATTTTCTTTAAATTTGAGGAAGATAAATTGATTTGAATAATATTTTCTAAAATATTTGACCCAACTAAACATAAAAAGATTGAAAGATATTTATATTTTTCTTCATACCAAACGCACCCTTAAAAGTACATAAAAGCATTATAATTAAAGATAAATTTGTTCAAATTTTAAAATTCAAAAGATTATAAAATAAATTACGAATGGGAGGGAGAATGCAATTTTGGTATTTGTGGTTCTCTTATTTTGAATTTTTTTAATTTTGTGTTGTGATTTGTTGCAGTCTAGCAGCTCTGTGTTGTTGCTGCCTGTTAGATGAGTGTTGCTGTGATCCCTCTGTAATCTGTGTCTTGTAATTAATTATTAAGGTCACCTTTTTATTTTTGCTTTAATTTGTAGTACATATACCAATGTATAAGAATTGTATAATGTGAATAAGTTCTTTATGAACACTATTATTAGGAGTTATATTGTTGTAATAATCTTTTTGATTTGAATCATTGAACTTCTATTTCATCTATTTTTTGGTTGTCTACCTTAGAAATTAGAATTTAATAATCCACAACCCATGGACTTGGTTCCTTATTGAATAGTAATGTACAATATATAGAAGCTCGGGCGGCACCAAGCTGGAGCACGAGGGTTCATTTAATTTTTTAGCTATAAAATTAATTTTTGAATATCTTTATACGAGGTTGATAATAATTTTTTTTAATGAATATGAAATAGATTATAGCTGTTTTGTCTTTCCTTGTGTGTAGGGTTGTCAAAATGAGCTGACTCGATTCATTCCAACTCAAACTTAATGAGTTAAATTGATTGGGACTTAACCTTTTTTAATTATAGCGCCTACAGAATAACAGTTCAATCTAGCATTAAGCTGGCCAAGGTAGGAACGGATCGACTCTTCAATCAAAATAGGAACAACATTTTCCTCAAAGAAAAGATACGAACATTGTTGTCCGATGAACACGATAACAATACATATATAAATTCATTCATAAATTACACATATTTCAATGAATATTTACAAAATATACAACATTCATAAAATTCATCTGAGCATTATCATGAACAGACAATAAAGAAGAAGTGAAAAATTAGGCATAAAAACAAAAATAAGAGAGGTCAAAGATTTATAATAGAACAATGAACTTGGGCTAATAAGAAAAATTTAGTAGGATAATGACCCCAAAATGTAAAAGATATGAAAAAAATATGATTTTGATTTTATATTGATATTTCAAAAATAATTATTGACAAAATCTTAATAAGTAAAACATTAAAAATATATATAATAAATATTTTCAAAATTCACAGCCTGCGGGCTGGGCTCCGAGGCTTACGGATTGAGCCTACGAGGCCAGCGGGCCAAATGAAGCTACGCTAAAGCTTTATGCCTAGATGTGCCGAAAAAATTGAGTCCAACCCCATTTATATCAGTGAAAATTACATAAATCTCATGTAATTTTAATATGAAATTACAATCTATCTTAATAAATTTCTAGTACCTTCAAAATTAAAAAATCCGGATATAATAATTGAAGTCCGGATACATTAATATGATGTTTGGGTACAGTAAATAGTGTCACTGATACATTAATATGTAGCTCGAATACATTGAAAATTAGTTCAGATACATTATATGTAGTTCAAATACATTAAATATCGACTCGAATACATTAAATAGTGGTTCAGTTACATTAATATGCAACTCAGATACAATTAGAAAAAAGTAATAGGAGATAATAGAAATAAATGAACCCAAAAGTATGTATTTCTATAATTTTGCTTTTATTCAAGAATTATGTTGAGCTGGCCTAGCAGATCAAACCCATTTTGACAGCTCTATTGATATGCTTTTTTTCTTCGTATTTTTTTAATGTTTTTTAGTGAAATTATTTGACTGACTTCACCAGATATGTGAAGGATGTAATACTGTAAACTACAAAGCCAAAATTGAAGTTCCATATCCTCACCCTACCCCCTTTTTCTGTTCCCTAAATCTTTTTATTGCACAGCCAGTTTGTAAATCCATCACAATTAAGCATATAAAAAGGCCCAAATCAACGCAAACATATCAAAATGAAAGTTTTTTTCAAGTATATTTACGTAAAATATTTTTTATTAAAAGTGATTTTGTATTAATTTTTTTTTAATTAAGGACGAAAGAACATATACAATTAACTTCACCACAATTTTGACAGTAGGAAAGATTACTAATACAGTGGAAAAAACAAAAGAGTTTTTTCATATTTCATATGATTAATTTAACGACATAATTTGAGATATAGAAAAAAAAAATATACTTTTCGAGAACACGTATTTTGTAGCCTAACGTAACAAAACTAAGCAGGAAGCAAAGCATTAATCATGTGTCGCACATTTATTCGATCTTTTTTTCATTTTAATAAGCATTTACAAACTGTCCCATTGAATTTCCCATTAACAATGTCCATCAAGTAATAATGCGAAAAAAATTTCAATAAGAATCTATAAAAAAAAAAATTATTCTCTTGGTTGGGTTGTCAAATATGTACGTGTATCTTTAAATTCCTTCCCCATTTTCCTTCACATTCTAAATACATGCAATGTTAAACTAGGGAATGTATATTTACTTAAATACTTTTTGACACGAATCGAGAAGAAATAAGAAATATTTTAACGCGTGTTTCATATTTTATTCCTAATTAGAGGACATACTTTAGATAATATTAAGATAATCGATTAAATTTTATGTATAAACAAGATAAAATAACAAAGATGCTAGATAGATCAACTAATCTACGTACATAAGAAAAAAATATTCGAAGTAAATTTTGTATGTACGTAGTTTTAAATAATATCATAGGAAGTTTTCTTTTTGGCATGACAATGTAATTTCAATTTCAATGTTAACACCAAGTGGTTATATATAATTATTTATTATTTCATTCATCCTAGAATGCAAACTTAAGCTAATTAAGGTTTAAACACGAAAATAGAAATTTGAAGTCTAAAGGGTATAAAATATTAATAAAAATTTTAAAATGGTATATAAAATTTTATATTAATTAAAATGATAAAATCACTGGAACAATAGTGATTTTCTCCACCGAAAAAAGCAAAATCGGTGTTACAACATTTTTGAAATTAAAAAAAAACCGCTGCCTAGGGCAGCGATTTTCTTAAAAAAACGATTTTTTTTAGAAAAAAACGATTTTTTTTAGAAAAAAAATCACATTTTGCAAAATCACTGCAGTATCAGCGATTTTACTTTTTCCGGAGGAGGAAATCGCTATTGTTATAGCGATTTTACCATTTTAACTAACATAAAATTTTATAATTCGTTTCAAAATTTTTATTAATATTTTATATTCTTTAGGCTCTGGACTCGAAAAAATAGATCGTATTTATCCATAAAAGTAGTAAATAGTGACGTTGTTGTATTTATGATTTTATATAATATGGTTGTGCCGCTTATAATAATAAAATAATCGTTTGTCATGAATAACCGACCCAGGTGTCACCGTGACACAACATATTCAAACAATATAAATACAACATTTTTTCTAATGTTCATATTTTTTCCCCAAATTAAAACTTCATATTTAACTCAAAAAATATGAGTGAAGTACCAAAGCAAACATCTTATCCCTACCCTGCTCCAGGTAAATTCAATGAAATAAGCTAAATTGCACGTAGCTAACAAATGTTTTTTTTAAAAAAAAGTATAGTGTAATTTTTTTATTTACTGTAACAGGTTATTACGAGGGACCTCCAGTGATGGCACCCCCTATATATACCTATACTGCTGCTCCCCCTAGAAGACAATCAGGTTCACTCGAGGCTTGGTAAATATTCCGTTTCGATTTTAATCTATGTGATACGATTTATTTATTACTTTTAATATGTTTATGATTTGTTTGCAGCTTGGCAACTTTATGTTGTTGTTGCCTCCTTGACTCTTGCTGTTGGGATCCTTTCCTCTGTATTTAGCTTGTCCTAAGTCTGAGTGTTGTTCCAAGTGATGAATAAAAGTGTAACGGATTTCATACGTTATATATTATGTATACATGAAGCATCTCGTGTTTTCGTTACCCTTTGAGAATCTCCCCTGTTTAGAGGTGTAATGCAGATAATTCATCATCTCGTGTTTTCGTTACCCTTTGAGAATCTCCCCTGTTTAGAGGTGTAATGCAGATAATTCATCGCAATATTTGATTTCCTTTGACGCATATATTGGTGACTGATTGAACATGTGATCGTGAAATATTGATTCTATTTGATTGAACACGTGACCTTGAGTGAGATTTTGGTGAAATAACTTTTTCTAAGTAGGTTCATTTTTTACTGTTCTTTCTTAATTTTCTTTTACTGTTCAATTTGTTTTTACCATATTGTTAGACAGTCCTGCTATAGCTACATTAGTTAGTGGTAGTTTGTGTGTATATGTTGAAGTTTCATGACATACAACCCAATGGAATATTAGCCAATATAGTAGACTTGGAGCTTCTTATATTTATGAGAAATACCCAAAGAAAAAGTAAGTCAGAATATTATTGATCCGTTGGAGGTAGGGCGTGAAAAAAAGAAATTTGGATTTTCATTTGAGTTGTTCATCCTTCTATTACTATACAAGAACAAATATATTTTGGTATTTATGCCAAAGCATGATTTGGATTTGGTAAAATAGATTAATTTATTTGCTTAATTTTATTCTTAGACAGATCATAAATCTAATCATCCTTCTAGTTCTAGGTTAGCAAACAATCTTTATAATTGGATCAGAGAAACAATCAGGAAGTTGGTTTGACATAAATGTTACAGGATTTCAATGAATGAACTAAAATGTTAGAGGAAAAGCTCAAAATAATCCCTCGTCTTTGGGCTAAGGCTTAAAGTGATTCTTGAATTTTTAAATGAAACATTAATAGTCTTCATGTTTGTAATACTAGTGCACTTTTGATCCTCTCATAAAAATTTACCTATTTTCTAACATTAACTTTGTTCAAAATTTTATATAAAGAATGTCCAATCATTTTATATATAATAAAAATAACAACTCTATTTGAGAAAATGTAATAAGAAAAACACATTGTTTTGTTCACAAAAAAGTAAACTAAAAACTTTAACATATGAATTTGCAGGAAAAGAAAAAATTACACTATTGCACGTGAAATTATTGTTATAAATCTCACGCTTTCGGTCGGTTCCCGTTCGCCTTCCCCCTCATAGTGCATTAGTGGGTAGGGTGGTCAACTTAGAGGGCGCCCGCCTCCTCTTCAGACGTGAAATTATTGTTATAAATCTCACGCTCACGACTTTACCTGCAATACGATTTCTATTAAACAAAATAAATTTTTTCACATTCTTTCATATGAAGTTGTTATTTTTAATAAATAAATAAAATGATTATTTGAACATACCATACGTAGATTATGAATAAAATCAATAGTAAAAATAAATAAAATTTTAGAGAAGGATAAAAAATGAACCAATATTACAAATCTGAGTATTAATGCTCCACGTAAAAACAGAAGGATCACAACCTTAACATAAACAGAAGAGACTATTTTTATCTTTTCCTCAAAATGTTATCCCCCACAACTTTAGTATAAGCCACAAAATTATAATAATAATAACAACAATAATAATAATAATATTTTTCGAGCGTAGATGAAACATATTCCACGCATTAATTATATAAGAGTCAAAAAAACATTATGAGTAATTAAAAAAAGAGATAAATGGTGCAAATACGTGTGAAATACGTGGGGGCATAATTTCTCCCTATTATATGATGCAACTTCACTAAAACTAAAGATTGTGTGTGAAGTCGGTTCGTAGACAGGACTGAAAATCTATCTACACATTCACCCCCCCTTTTTTGTTTTTGTATTTTTTAATAAAAAGAATCACTTAGAACAAAATGTGACAAAAAATGCACTTTCTCATATTTGTTATCACCCCAAAAATCAAACCGATGCCATTTACTTTTAAGCATCAATCAATTCATTGTGTTTTGAACCATAATCAAGTAGAGTAAATAGAGAAACAAATAATATTTATAAACTTAGTTATTATTACTAATTTATTTCGTATATTTTTCTTATACGTGTAAATCTTTCTAATATTTCCATATTCAACATTTTTCCCTACCAAACACAGCAAAGTTAAAAAAATAAATAAATCAGTTTTTGGTTAGATTATATCTCAGCCATTTCACTAGATTTCTGCAAAATTAGTTATTGAACAAATTTCTTTGTTAGAAAAAAACGTAAAAATTGTGCGTATAATAAAGGAGAAATTTTCAACAAAAAAAAAACAAAACAAACAGAACCAATAATATTTTTTTAGAATTAGTCTGGACCTTACAAACTTCCAGCTGTCAATTGGGCTTCTTAGCCCAAAAACAACTCAAGGCCCAGTTACTATCTTAGCCGGCTTACCCTAATTCTCTTCACCAAAACATACAAACGCCGCCTGCAACTCAAAACTAAACTACCTCGCCGGCGGGAACAAAAATCCGGCGAGTCTTTCACGGAAAATTGCTGCCGGACAACCAGATCAGCTCAGATATCATCGGAAAACTACCAGACCACAGATCTAAAAAGCTTTCTGTTGAAAAATGCCCTCATCGGAGAAAACAAAGAAAAAAAAACTGAAGTTTATTTTGGGAATTTGCAATGAAAAAAAGTATGTGAAGAAGAGAAATTGGATCTGGATTTGTAAATTTGTAATGGTAATAATAGAAGGTTCTAGGAGAGCGAGGTAGACGTGGGGTAGTGGGGTGTAGGGGTAGGGGGTACCTTTTATATTTGTAAAGAATGTGACGCCACCTATACATTAGCTAATTTTAGTTGTCTTTACTCTTTTGTAGGACCCAAAAAAGGTGATAAAATATATTTTTTTAATCATTTACACCCTTCAAGTATTTGGATTCCCACTTTGCCCTCTTCATTGTCTACCACTATATAATTTGGTGCCTAAAAAAATTATGATCACCCTCTTTGTTTATTGTTTGGGATTAGGAAACAAAGTACCAAGACTTTTTTTCCATGTTACAGTTCGATTATTCATATTCGTATAATATAAAATTTTATCGACAGAAAAATGTTCTTATTAAGGAGTTCTCTAAACAAAGTATTTGAGCAGCTTGTATGTATAAATATATAAAATATGATTTCATAGATGTTTAATTAAAACGATTCATCAGAAGTTGAGTTGTTACATTTAGGATATGAAAATCACTATTCTATATTTGTTTCTACTTTTCTATAATTTATTAACGCACCATCTTAAAATATTTCATTATCTAATTTAGAAATTAAATTTTACTCATTATATTAAAAGCTTTAATAATCACTTCAAAATTTTTAAATATAAACAAAAATTCCATATTTTTTTTTCTCAAGAGGGGTACAAGTGGGAATTATGGAAAAAGGAAAGTCGGCTTTTAAAAGGTTGATGGGCAAAAATTACAAAACATTAAACAAAGCTTCCATTGTTTGACAGTATCTTCCTGACACGTCAACACTTTCATCTATGCGCGTTTTGCTTCTCTTTCACGACTTCATGTGTATTCCCTCTGCCACGTCATCCACCCCCATACCCCCGTTTTAAATTATCAGTGGGTCCCACTCCCTTCAAAAACCCTAAATTCAGGACACATGCGACCCAAATTCACTTCAAACTCAAACTACAACGCCTCCCTCCCTCTCTTCTACTTTTCCTTATCATTCAATTTTTTTAAAAAATAAAAATAAAAAAAAATCTCCTATTTAAACCCCTGCTCAACTGACCCCAGATCTGTCGCCACGTGTGTATTTGCTTAAATCTTAGCCGTTGATGACAGATTGTCTCGGTCAGTTTCTCAGACAGCAAACAAATTTTTATACATCGTTAGATTAAAAGACGAGGTGTGATCAACGGGTTAGAATCTGCCCGAAGTTCGCACGGGCAGATCTCATCGCCTTTAAGAAGCGATGCCCTCTCGTTCTCATTCCTCGCTCAATCCCTTCAAACCCTTGCCTTCATTTGGGTTCCAACATTTATAGAGTTTTCTTTTTACTTCCTTCTTTGGTTGATTAAAACCGGAAATTGAAGGTCGGGTGGAGTTTCGGTAGATTCCGGCAGGCGCGTAGCTGTCACGTACCTCTTTAATTTCATGATTTCAACACCATTTGATAACGATAAATTCCACCAGACGAACGCCGGTATTAAGATTTGCCGGTGTAATTCATGGCATCCGCCGTCTTAGCTAGCCGGAATGAATCTAGCTGGGCTCAGTCTGGTGGTGCAGGTGGTGGATTCATGGGGAAAACCCCTTATTCTCATACGCAACTGAACCCTAATCACAACCCTAACCCTAAGAAGAAGCAGAAGCAATTCCATCACACCTCTAATGGTCGGCATATGGATGATTCGCCAGCAGTGACGCAAACGGCGTCTGATGATGCCTACTCGTTCAATCAACGGCCGATTGAATCAACGACCAACGTTGACGGCCTGAATTTCGGAGGATATTTGACTTTTAACGTCGTCTCTTACAACAAAGCCGAGGTCAATGAGCTACGGAGTCGGCTGATGGCGGAGGTCGAACAGATCCGAAACCTCAAGGATCGAATCGAATCCGGTCAATTGAGCACCACCAACCCCAGATCTCAAGGCAAATCGAAGAAACAATCTGGAAATAAACGGCCTACCCCTTCCGGATCCAGTAAGGATCTGAAGAAGCTCCCAAACGGAGTTGAAAATAGGAATTTTGGTAATCCAGGTGGTGTGGATGGTGTGAAGGCCATCGGAACGGAAAGTATGATGAAGGAATGTAGGCAGATTTTGGCAAAGCTGATGAAGCACAAAAATGGGTGGATTTTCAATATCCCTGTTGATGCTGAAGCCTTGGGTCTTCATGATTACCACCAAATTATTAAGCGACCCATGGATTTGGGGACGGTTAAATCAAATTTGGCTAAGAATTTTTACCCTTCCCCTTTTGAATTTGCTGCTGATGTTAGGCTTACTTTCAATAATGCCTTGTTGTATAACCCTAAAACAGATCAAGTTAATGGCTTCGCTGAGCAGCTTCTCGGACGATTTGAGGACATGTTTAGACCGCTCCAGGATAAAATGAATAAGCTTGAAGGCGGCAGGCGGGATTATCACCCTGTAGATGAGTTGCAGGGGAGTTCTTGGAATCACATACCTACTCCCGAGAGAGTGAAGAAACCCAAACCTACCCCAGTCCCTAACATTTCAAAGAAGCAAGAGCGGATGCAAAATCATTCTAGTGCGTCAACACCCTCTTTGCCAGTGCCACCACCCAATCCACCAGCCCGACAGCAGTCACCATTGTCAACTCCGTCCCCAGTGAGGGCACCAGCTGCGAAGCCTCAATCAGCTGCTAAAGTTCCTACTATGGGAAAGCAACCTAAACCGAGGGCCAAGGATCCAAATAAAAGAGAGATGAATATGGAGGAAAAGCATAAATTAGGAGTTGGGTTGCAAAGTTTGCCACAAGAGAAGATGCCGCAGTTGGTGCAGATTATAAGGAAGAGGAATGAACATTTAGCCCAAGACGGTGATGAGATTGAGCTCGACATTGAGGCCCTTGACACCGAGACTCTATGGGAGCTTGATCGGTTTGTGACCAATTGGAAGAAGATGGTGAGCAAAACCAAGAGGCAAGCCTTGATGAACAATTTGGGACCACCATCCGCCAGTGCTGCAGCTTCAGCTGCAACTACATCCGTTGCCGAAGCAGATGGGGTAATGCTATATTGCATTTATCTTGAATCTATTTGATGAGCACATTCTGTGCTCCTGTGCTTTTCTCTGATTGGAAGTTCTAACAAATGCGTTTTCTTTTGCAGCCTACTACTAGTGAGAAAAACGATTCCTTCAAAAAGGCCAAGAAGGGTGATGTTGGTGAAGAGGATGTAGAGATAGAGGATGATGAACCAGCTACCCATTTTCCTCCCGTAGAAATTGAGAAGGATGAAGGTGGTGGGCGGGATCAAGAGAATGGTGGTGGTGGTGGTAGTAGTAGCTCTAGTAGTTCTAGTAGCTCAAGCAGTGGCTCCTCCTCTTCTAGTGGTATATGTTCTACTTCAAATGCAAAAAAATGATATTTTTTGCGACTCAATTAGAGCAGATTAATTGAACATAGTTTCTTATGCAGATTCTGATTCAGGAAGTTCATCCGGAAGTGACTCTGATGCTGATGATGCACACTCTTGAGATTTGTTGATTCAAGCAGTGCATAGGCTGTTGCTGAATTTTCTTTTATCGAGGTATAAAGTTGGGGACTCGAATTCTGATAAGTTGGGGAAAACCAGCTGTTTGTAAACACATGGGCAACCTAGGAAGAAAAATTGATCTGCTTATATGACATAGGCAAAATCAAAAAGCTCAGGGAACTTTGTAGTGTTGATGGCAGAGAAGTTATGGCGTTAGGGATCACAATTTTAGGAATTTTAGAGATGGTCCCTCTGTTAATGAGAGTGAGATATGTAGATAGATAGTTGAGGAGAAGACACCTTTTGTACAGTTGGTTTACACTAAATATTTGATTTTTCTTGAAGATGATAACACATGACACTTTCTACTTCTTTGGTTTCAAGCTCCATCAACTTAAAACATATTGTTTGTGGTACATTGTGTTGGTCGGTTGACCAGCCACTAATTGTGCCAACAGCTTTGAGAAAAAAGAAATGTGGCAAATATGTTAAAAGTTGCTGGCTTAACCATGTTCTAATCGACCCTAAAATGATTGGGAATAGTTTATTTTGGCCTGAGAGCAGAATGAAGATTTAAGAAAGCATTCAACGTGTTTGAAGAGAATGGTGTATGCGAACAATTATTTTCATATATTTAAATTCTTAGGTACTTGTATTATTTAATGGGTAGCTGTGCAGTTACAGTATTACTTAAACAAGTGCTGGTAGAAACTTTCTTTTGTAAAGACGTAAACTATCTCCTTTCACGTGAAGGATCCAAATATGGCAGAAATGACGGACTCGACGGAAAATCTACCCATGTGTACATTTTTATGGGAAATATACACAGCCACATACATATGTATTAAGTTTGCACTAATGTAGTATAAAGCCAAAAAATTGAAAAATCGACCAGCTAACTATAGTAACATAGGTCCACACAAAATGTAAGTCATCAAATTGAATAGTTATCCGGATGGTGGCATTATCTGAGTCACTGAACAAAGCCAGATAAATGAACTGTTTAGAATATTGATTCAGATCCTCAAAAAGTGTTAGTACTTCAATATACCTAGATGTGTTTAAAAAGACTTGCTTTGCTTGAGTTGAACTCCAACTTTAAAGTGGTGTGGCGACTAGTTTTTACAGTGGCCTGACTTTATACGTCATAAACTCATAGGAGAGTCAATGAGGTGCCACCACCCAACACAAATTATATTATACAAGAAAGTGTTAAGACCAAACTACAAGATTGAACAGTAGGAGAATACCATTTATCAACAGTTTGGTCCTTTGGTTGAAATCCCAAGTCCAACACCAACTGAAGTGAGATTGCAAGTCAAGCCATTTATTTGTTCTGTTCGTGATAGTGACTCAAAGGATGATCTACTACCAAATCCTGTTAAACACATGGGAAACTTCCAACCACTTGGTTTTAAAAATGACCTATCTTACTCGTTCAGCTGCTTGCAGAGCAGGGAGTCTATGTTTTCCACAAACATATATGTTAGCAGCGACATCCTGTCAAAATTGAAGCTGCTGTATGATCATCAATGTCAATGTCGCTCAATTTTTAA